AAGCCTCCGTTCCTCGGAATGGAAAACTGCTGCAATGGGTAGTGGCATTAAAAGGATGGTCCTTCAACGGTAAAATGAAATGAGCATACTACTAAGCCGGTCAACTACAATAGAACTGACAGTGTAGCCTTCGACTTGTGGAAGCCTTCGAGGTGAAATCCATGGGTCACCTCTGAACCAAACCTGATCAGGTAAGCTCAAAGTGGCTGCAACAGTGGCCTCCAGGGACACAAGCATGATTACTTGTTCTTCTGACAAGTTCACACTGGGGCCCCACATTTTCCCTCCACATCTTCCTCAATCCCTTCAAGTAAGTCTCTCTAGCCAATCTTGATAAGTCTTCTGCCTCGCTGAATGCCTCAATAGCACTGGCGATGAACTCCTGAAATATCAGTGGAATCTGGGGAAAGAGGTCCTAGGTTAAAAACTAACGCTTCCTTATGTAGCAAAAGCCTGATCCTCACTGTATATCCCTGGACGGATTTCTTTCCCCTTCGCTTATGGCCTCTCTTAAGGCTCCCCATCTTCGCTAAGTCATATTTTCTGTCCTAAAATTCCCCCAATCCACTATTGAGGCACAATGTACGGCAATAAGGTTTGTGAGCACTCCACCTTTCCTGGATAAGGCAGTCAGCAGCTTTTATTCTCAACCCTGGCTTGTTAACTGGGAATCTGGAAATCATAGCCCAATAATTTGGAGAGCATCTCTGGTGTTTCTTCTGTCACCTATGCGTTTTGCTTCCGACAAATTTATTTTAGGACTCCTTTGGACCAGTCCTCACAGGAATCTCTACCCAACAGTACGGTCGCCACTGGGTCTGAATGGCCTTAACAATGGCCATAGCTTCTCGCTCTCAAGACTAGATTTGAGCTTTTTCCCCTGAATAAATACCTGACTTGTAGAAGCTATGGGTCGTCCCCTTGCTAGCAGTGAGAAGCAGCTCCCACCAAACTGTAGGATGCATCAAGTTTCCACCACCAGTCTGGCTGCTTGAAATCCGGGTAATGATAACACCGCGGGGGCTACTAGACCATTAGCTCCGTTTTTCAAAGCCTCCATAGCCGCTATCTGCCTCCGGTCGCCCAAATTGAAGATGTCTTTCTTGCAACTGCTCAGTGAGTGGAGCCTGCTGATAGATCCATACCGCTTTTATTGAATTTCCGGTAGTAATCCTGTGAGTCTAAAAGCCCGGAGAGGGGGCCCGAGGTTTTTCTTAGGAGTTAGCCCAGCTTGTCATGGGCCTTCCCACTTTGGAAGGGTCAGCTGCTACTCCCTGGCTTGAGATAAAATGTGGCCAAATATTCCACACTCCCTTCAAGCAAAAGAACACTTTTTCTGAATTGACGATCAACAACTGATGATGTTGTAAAGTGCGTCAAAACTCTCTCAAGTGCTCCCAGAGTGTTCCTGTAGGGACTGCTAATAGATCAGAATATCATCAAAAAACACTAGGACAAACCTCCTCAGCATGGGTTGAAACACTTGGTTTCATTAGAGCCTGAAATGTAAAAGGAGCGTTGGTGAGTCCAAATGGCATCACCAAGAACTCATTAGTGTCCCTCGTTGAGTCCTGAAAGCAGTCTTGGGAATGTCCTCCCTCCTCAATCCGGATCGTAGTGATAACCCTGACTTAAATCAAGTTTGGAGCAACATTGTAGCACCTCCCAACTCCCATCAAGAAGCTCATCAATAAGCGGGATTGGAAATTTGTCTAGAACAGTGTCTCCTTTGTGAGAGCACGCGATAATCAACACAAAATCGCCAGCTACCGTCCTTCTTCTTCACCCATAGTACTGGGCTCGAAAAAGGGCTGCCACGCTGAGGGGTGGAGGACCCTCGCCTCCAGTCGATCTTCCCTGACTAGCGTTCTCAAAATCCCCTTGGCGTGAGCATGGGAGGATATTGATAAGTTTGGCGTAAACAACTAACGAGATGATGCCTCCACTTTTTCAGTACAAGTGGCGTGCTCCGTTGGCTTCTCTGGGTGGTGGTAGGCGCCTGCTGGCGATCTGAAAAAACTGGGGTGAAATGCCAACGAACAACTCTAGAACCTACTTTCTGGGAATATTACTCTGCTCGCAACTGATTCACGACCTGCTCCAATCGGCCATAACTCTATCAAAAATCCTTTCCCTTCTGCTAAGAGACTTGAAGAATAGTGCTTCAAAGCACATTGAGGATCGGCATATTTGGGGTCCCCATGCAAAGTAAACTCGAGTGCTCCCCTTCACCATACTGCCAACAGATCAAGGTGCGTTTCCAGTTGACCTTTCATCTCCCCATAGTTTGTAACCATGCTGAATACCCAAAATAACATCCATATTAAAACCCAGCTCGAGCACACAAAAAATTTTGGGGTAATACTTTCCGCCCGTATGGAGAGAGTAACCCCGCTGCATCTTGGGTCCGCACACTACTCCCTCTGACTCGGCCCCAAGGGAGACTCCACTCCTCCTTGGATCATGGGATGCCCAAGCTGCTTCCACTATCAGCAAGCCTGGATAAAAGTTGTGGGTGGCCTCCACTGTCTATCAGCCTGTGGAACGTTAAAAGGCTCCCGATCCGCTCCCTGTTGCCATCTGATGGTGGTAATGTGCTTGTCACCATGACCGACAGAATGAGGGAACTTCAATCATGTCAAGGAGTGTAGATGATGTCTACACTTCTTCTTCCCCTCCCTAACTCTTCCTCAACTTCCTCTCCCTCGGGGTCTTCTACCAAATAGGGAGCTTGGAGTAATTTGGTCTATGTGAACCTATGGCCGGCTGGCCCAAACTTTCTCATCACACCTGTTAACAGAGCCCCTTTGGCTCTTTTATCCTTCAGCTCTGCACTCAGTGAGAACGCCTGAACTCCGCTTGGCCGGTGCACTCGTCGATGCCCTCTCCTTCTATCCTTCTCCTGCCTGCCCCAAGGTAAGCACCCTTGGCTCTCCCGTTAGGATTTGCACCTTCTGTCCCCCTGCAAAAGAAAGTGGGCCTGCGGTACTGATCAGAGACAATCTTATCCTCTATCAGGCTCAACCTCTTCCAAAAGTTCTCGCCTCAGAGCTCCTTGGCCTGGGACGCTCTATTAACTGGGCTGATTCGGAATGGTGGGGCTTCAGACCTTCATTTGAAGTTAGCCTCAGCACCTCAATCCGCATCCCACGAAGTCTACTGGACAGCAACTCGAACCTGTCCCTATAAGCATATACTGTACCAGTCTGAGTCAGTGCGAAGAACTGGCTCCATTGATAGAGTTCCCTCCTTTGGTGGTCTTCTGAAGCGGTCGGAGGCCAAGCATCTCCCTAAATCTGCCAACATCTGAATCTTCTGCCTTTTCCTCCATCCACTGAATACCAAGCAAGGGCTTCTTTGCCTCCAAACAATATAAGGTACCGCCAAGAGTTTCTCTCATCTGTCATCCCCATCGCAGTGAAGTATCTTTCTGCCTTGAAGTCCAACAATAAGCATCCTTCCTTCAAAGATTGGAAGCTTCAAACTTCTCATTCCCATTCTCCTCTCCGTTTACCCTGCGTTGCCCATACCTCCTTGCCCCATTAATCTTCCTCTGGTTTGCCTTCTCCCATTTGGGCCCGTGGGTCACCCAGACTCTCCCTTCTTTCACCAAGCTTGAGGTGCCTACCGGATCCCCCCTTGGCATAACCAGCGCGACCCGGCAAATGAGGCTTCCTAGGGTCGGACTCCCTCTGCTCTGATACGATCCTCCTCCCCACTAATGTGTAAGGCATGGCTTTCCTCCCTCCTTCCTGAGCTCCCTTCCTTGGGAAGGAAATTGGATCTGGAATGAGATTCTGAAGTATAGCTTTCCCCTAGCCAGTCTCCCATAAATCCGGCGATGGAAGTAGTGCGTCCCTCCACGGTTTTTGGGCCATACCTGCCCCCCTTTTGGGCCGGCGGACCAAGCATCCGCTCGCATGGTCGACAATGTCAATGGCCTCCTTCTTTTGCAATTAGGTCCCTACGGAACCCTACTACCGTGGTCCTTCACCATCAACCGGCTGGCGCAATAGGGGGTTAGGGTTTTAGGGTTATGGGGGTTAGGGCTGCGGAAGCCCCCTATGTTGTGGTGTTGGCCCGCCACCATGTTTGTTGAATCATCGTCTTGTAACGCCTAACATTTGCAGTCTTCAACTCCTCTAGCTGTTCCATAAGCTTTTTTCGTCAACGGATGAAATTTTCTCCTTAAGGGGATCAGTGAACTCCACTTCCCACTCTCCGGCGCTTTTCCTCTTCATAGATTTCAATCATCTCGTGTACCATCCCTTCCTTGTGGGATTCTAGCGGCTTCTGATACCACTTTTGATGGGGAGTGTTAGTTTGTAATTTTTCGGAATCCAGGAAAAACACCCGCAAAAACGGTGGGGAAAAATGAAAATTTCTTTGATTGAAAACACTCCACACTTCAAGTAACTTGAATAGTCAAAAGACTTACAAAGTTTCCGACGGATACCAATTTGCTCTCATTCGAGAAGAAGAAGCTTTCTCCCAAGGCCCTAGAGAAGAAGAAGGCTAAAGACAGCGACCAAAACAAGATCCCCCAAAAAAGCAACCCTAACTCACTTTTAACTCTCACATAACCCCTAAAATTCCCTATTAACGCGGCTAGGGAAAACACCTCATTCGTGTCCTCTTCAATTTGGTGAGTCCCCGTTTGGTCCCCACCGACTCCTGGTTTCACCTTCGGCTATCCGCCCAGGCAGGGCGGGTTCTCCGCCTGCAGTAATGTTCGAAAACCTGCCGGCCCTTTTTGGGCCGGTGTTGCTATGGACCGGACTGGTCCATCAAAACGCTTCTTAGGAAATTGAAACATATGATGGGCTATCACTGTTAGAGTTAACGAACAAGCACAAACATTCGGACAATGTCGTGGATTAGATAAGACACTAAATGTACGAACTAAAGTAGTGCCCAAACCCATTAACATGAAACATATTAGTCCAAAAATTAATTATTTTATCAATACAAGACGTAAATGGACATTACATGAAAAATAAGTTCCCTTACTGAATTCAGTCATCAATGCCAAAAAGTAATAAACTAAAGGGGTGTCTCACCGGGGGAGGCTGCCGTCCTTTAGCTGTTGCACTCAACAGATCGCCTGCTGGGGTCTTTTCAGGGAAATAATTAAGTAAAGAAATATCATCACTCTTCCGGCTAATAGAATTTCTTCGTGCATCCGTTAAATCAGAAGAAATCTTCTGCTGTGAAACTCGTAATGGTGACCCACTAGCCGAACTTTCACAATCAGCATTAGGTGAGAGTCCTTGAAGGTACTCAGGTTTCTGCATAAAATGTATTTATCTATAAAAACTATTCAAATGAATCAACAATATCATGAGTGTGACTGTGCAATTAACAGCTACATCCTGACAGGACACAAAAAACTGGCCATACCTTTAACAAATACCAACATTGAAACTAGATATTTCAGTAGTTGACAATGTTGATCATATTATGCAATACATATTTGTTATCCTACTGAGATTCAGTCATCAGGTCAAATAAACATCAAACCTATTATATGGAGAGCCATTAAAGCAGCCATCGAATTACATCCACGGAGGATGTTAAGGTTTGGAACAAAGACCAGCTAATTAGCCATTGATCATATATTTTTCTAAAAGGAAAATTAATCATCAGCAGAAAATGTAAAATAAGAAGCAATTGGAAAAAAAAATAGCTAGACAAAAAACGTAAAAACAAAATACAACAACAAGAACAACAACAAAGCAACAAAGGCTTAGCCATAAACCAGAATAAAACCGTAAGGGTCTTCCTTAGAAATGTCTAATTTTAATGACAGTATATTAGAGAATGATGACATATTTTTCTTAAAATTTTTTGCCCTTTGGCATATAGAAATTAATACTTTCTATCTACTAGCCCTCCTATGGTAGTAATGCTAACATTAGAGCTAGCAAAAAGATATTCACACTGATAACCCCAACATTAGAAAGATCAATAGAAGCAAAAATCTCTGGTAGATCTAGATCAATAGTCTTGTGAGTAGGTGCAATGCCAATTACTACCGTTGAACTAACATCCTAGGAATGCACTCAATGCAATCTTGGAACTAAACTTGATTAATAATAATCCTGTGTACAAACAAGATCAGAAAACAGAATTGCCACCATTGTGTTATAAGTTTGCTTTTAGTACTTAAATGTTCCCTAAGAGGTTTGCATAGGTTTGAGCATGCCTTGAAGTATCATGTTCTGATAAAAAAATTTGCATAGAATAAGATGAAGGAATAAATCCAAACTCTTAACTTCTCTCAAATACATTAGTGGAACAAATTTTAATACGCTTCTACAAGGGGGCAGTAACATCCATTTTCATTCGAATGCTAGTCGCATACAACCTAAAAAACAAAGCAATAGCAACCACCAAAAGTGATTTACCACAAATTGAGTGAAGAGAATATAGAAAGAATAAATTGAAGCAATGAATTTAGAGATGAGGAAAAGCAACCCATACTACAGTGTATGATACGCCCAGCCCAGCCCAACCAGCCGGCGCAACCCAGGCTAGACTAGCCATGTGGCATGGCGGAACTATTATTCATTAATGTAAGAAGGTGGAATTAAGAGGGGAGCTATTTAGGAAGGTTTTAATCTAAGAAAAGAAAGTTGATTTGAATTATGAAAGATTTTATAAAGCTAAAGAAGGTTGAAATGAATTTAGATTTGGAGGGAATTAGTGAGGATTACATTAGGGTTAATTGGATTTTTTACTTTCATTAGGAGATTGTGTTTGATGTAGATCTTTTTTGAAGTTATTCCCAGTATCAGCTAATGGTTTGTGGGAGAGATGATCTACCTCTCAAATAGTAGATCAATTGTATCTTCCATTATTGTTGGAGTACTAAAAAATTAGCCCCCATAATTGTGTTCCTGCAATTTCTTCTAATCTAATTGTTGTTTTTTCCCTTCCAAGTTACATCAAATTGGTATCAGAGCGAGATTTTGGAGAGATGGCAGCAAAGAGGTTGTAAGGCGAAGTGGAGCAAATCAAATTCGAGATGGAGGAGAAGTTCTCAACCATCGAAGGAATGTTTTCAGTCATGGAGAATTGAATGCAAAGCCAATTTTGAGTACTGGAGGAGATGATGAGAAAATTCATGAAGATGCAATACAAAACTCCACTAGCGGTTCTGATTTCTAACCCTAATAAAGTTTTGACTGGGATTCCCCTGACCGAATCTAAGAGAAAGGAGTTCGATGAGGAGAGTTTCTTTCATACACCGATAAGAGGAGAATTAGGATTTCCGAATAGGGAGACCACAAGGACAGAATTTTGTGGTGGTGGTGGTGGGGTGGAAGACCACCATGGGAGGCATTTTGGGCAAGGGCAGTGGGCGACCAGAAATTGAGGGGTCGAGCCAATCCATAGGGATCGGGTCATGCAGGAAGATGGAAGAAAGGTGGGGGTCCCACCCTTGATACATAGGGGAAAACCGTTGGAGGTAAAGGAAGTTAGACTGGAGATGCTAGAGTGAGGAAGTTGAAGATCTGGATATTTGAAGGAAAGGATGCCCATGGATGGGTGCATCAAGTGGAAAGGTATTTCGTGGTGAATAGGTTGAATGAGGAGGATAAGCTTATGACTGCAGGGCCATGTCTAAAGAGGAAAGCCCTACCTTAGTTCCAATGGAGGAAGGGGGTCAGATATTCGTTCTACTATTGGGAGGACTTTAAGGATTGCTCGTTAGGGCATTTCCGCATGAGAAATTCTTTGATCTGACTCAGGAGGGGATCATCATGGATTATAGGGAGAGATTTGAGTTTTTGTCAGGAAGATTGAGGGGAATTTCAGAGGTGATGTTGGAGAGAAATTTCATAAAGAGCCCAATGCCCAACATACAAGTAGACCTCCAATTGTTGAGGTCGAGGGGTTATGGGAGACGATGAAGCTAACCCAGAGGTGGAGGATCAGATACAGATGGAGAGGACCAGTAGAAGCAGAGTCACGGGAGACACCTATAGGAGTGCCTCGACTTCATTGGCACATAGGATGCAGCCATTTCAGCAGGAGGCACCGATGGAGAGAGTGCGGGAGTTCGCCTCGGGGCTAACTTCAAGTGCCTCACAAAGGCAGAGGTGCAAGAAAAAAAAAAAGCGAAGGGTTTGTGCTTTCAATGTCATGGAAAGTATGCGCAAGGCCATCGATGCAAGGACCACACACTCCAGGTTCTTACGATTTGTGATGATAAGACCAACAACGAGGAGTTGGTGAAGGAAGCAAAAACAGGAGGTGATCAACTTCACCTTGATGTGGCGAAAGTGTCCCTTAACTTAGTGGAGGGATTTATTCAAAATCACACCATGAAGGTGAGAGGACAGATCAGGGAGCGGCTAGTGATGGTTTTGGTGGATAGTGAGGCTACTTACAGCATCTTAATTCAGGTCATGGATCAATTGGAAATAAAGTTGGTGGATACGAGGATCTTTGGAGTCATGATGTGGACAGTGAAGGTGGAGAAGAGTATGGGATTTGCAGGGGTTGGGTGCTGACAATCCAAGGCCTACAAAATAATGGAGGATTTTCTTCTCATGGATTTGGAGAGCATTGATGTGATCTTAGGGATGAAGTGACTACAGATGATTGGGGAAATGAAGGTGGACTAAAAAGATTTGACTATGGAGATTCAGGTGGAGGGGAAGAGGGCGGTGTTACGAGGAGTTACCAATAGAACCACGGTTTCACTCAAAATCAAGGTCAATGCAATACAGAGATTAAGAAGGATGAGATTCAGAAAGATGAGACAGAGTGGCTCATCAGAGAGATACTTAAGGGAAAGATTACTAGGCCCAGTATGAGCCCCTTTTTCAGCCCATTTTTACCAATGAAAAAGAATGGCGGTTGGCAATTTTGAGTGAACTATAGGGCCCTAAATAACGAAACTGTGCTAGACGAGATTCCTATCCCCATGATTGATGAGAAGTTGGATGAACTGTTTGGGTGGTTATCTTCTCGAAGATTGACATAAAACTACCAAATCAAAATTATTTCGGGAGATGTGCACAAGATAACTTTCAAGACTCGGGTCACAAAGAGTTTTTAGTAACACCTTTCGGCCTTACCAACACTACATCCACTTTTCAGTCCCTCATTGATGCGAGCAAAAATTTCGGGGGATGGGGGACCCGAGGACCTCTGCCCACAATAAGTAGACCCGACTAAAAGAAAAGGACTCCTACGTAATAAAACGAACAAATTCTTACATTTCAAATAAAAGAAAGACTTACAAACAACGACTTAAAAACTTGAACTCTTACAAACTTGACTCTAATAAAAAGACACCCTAAACTTGCTTTGCTTAAAGACGAAGGATACAGGTGGGGTGTAAACTTGCAGAGAGACGAAAGAGATTAGAAGCCCGAGAAGAAAGGTGGAGAAGAACTTGCAAGTCTCCTCAAAGAGGTGGAAGAAGAAGGTGGACAAAGCTCACAAGCTCCTCCAAGAAAATCCCAAGGATTTCTTTTCCAAAAATTCATATATCTCTTTTTAAAACATTACAAAACCCCTCATATTTATAGGTATGAAAAGGGGAATACAAACAGCCACACTAATTGAATTCCCACAGGAATCCAAGCACCACACACCACGGAAAAGCCCCCAGCTTTTCACGGGAAACAGCCTAGCCATGGAACCGAAGAAGCAGCCACGGGAACCAAAGAGACCGCACAGGACCGAGGCGCCAAAAGCCACGGGAAGGCCCCCAGCTCGGAAAACCAGCAGCCCACCGCGGCAACCAAGGAGCCAAGGCACGGAAACAACCAACCGTGGAAGCCAAGGAGCCAAGGCACGGAAAAACAAACAACCTTGGGATTCCAAAAGCCATTTTGGAATCCCAAGAGACAAACTTTAACTTAAGATAAAAACTAAATAAATTACATAATTAAGATAATTAATGAACTTAAAACTTAGCTAATAATGAGCTAACCTTTAGTTCAATAAATGAACTAAAAAACAGCTCATAAATGAGCTAAATTCCAGCTCAAAATTTATTGAGCTAGTAAACTCAAGGGAAGTCAAAACCAACTTATTTTGGGTTTGAGTTGCCCCCCCCCTTGCCTACATCACTCATGAACCAGTTTTTCAACCCTACCTCAAGATGTTTGACTTAGTATTTTTTGACAACATCCTGATCTACAGTCATATGGGTCATCTAGGATAGTACTGGAGACTTTGAGGGAGCACCAGCTATATGCCAACTTGAAGAAATATTCCTTTGCATAGAAACAGGTAGAGTACCTATTACATGTGGTGAGAAGAGAGC